TTCTTCCTCTTCAACGCATGCCTCAGACTGGCTAGTGAGGCTGATGTGGTTTCAAAAGGCTCGCCCGGCAGCCCACCCCAAGGAGTCCCAGGGTTTGGAGACGGTTACATTGCTACCCTTGTTGAATTGTGTGGCCTCGTTCCTCGGACCTACGCGGGGTTCTTCCTCTCTAGCTTGGAGCCCGTCAAGCTTCATCCAGCTCACCTATCCGCCCCGCGCTCAGTCGGTCCTCTGCTCTTCCTTGTCCTTCTCCTGCATCTATCTGGATAAAGGACACCAGCCAGTCCCCATTTGCCCAGGACTCTCCCAGCCTTAAACCTCAAAGTCCTGTATCCTGGGAACTCTATCAGGCCGAGGCAAATGGGGCCAGGGGTCACCCTGTACATAGGGCACGTTCTGGCCATGAGCTATCAGGCTTGTCCTGGCTTCAGAAAGGCCTCTGGGGCACCTGGGGACCAAATTCCCCCGGCGAGGGTGTAGGCAGAGGGCATCATCGGCCAAAGCTCCCAGCTACTATTCCCTGTGTGTGACGCTCTCCAGGATGCTCAGCCCCAGAGTGCTCTGGTTCGTAATAGCAGGGCCAACAGTACCAACAGCACGCTTCCCTGAATAGAAAACTCAGATCTTAGCATTTACAAAAGTCAATATTTATGTTGGTCCCTGGTTTTTTATTTTTAAAACAGCTTATTTTCAGCAGGTCGGTTAGTTATCTGGGGAATCCGACGGGAAACTGAATTGGTGGTGCTTTGGTAAGCCTGGAAAACTAGCACTTGGGCCCAGTAAGGATATAGGAAAGTGCTCCACTAAGCAACTCTCTCCCAAGGGTCCTGGACATGGAAAGATGGTATTCCAGGAAGTCCCGGTAAACAGCTCCCTGAAAGAGCTATCTCTCTTAGTACTTCTTTTCCTTACAACCTGTTTTTAAAACCCTTTCTCCTTTCTAGGCCACCATCCCTCCCTATTTCTTTTCCCTTTGTCCCCAGAAAACGACATGAGGGGGGATTTTTGGCACCAAGGTCGTTCATGCCTTATCTGTCATCGTCCGCTGGCCCTTGTGTAAATTCTCACATCAATTTCCACCAGGCAGGAAACATGCTATGACCCTGGTCACAGAAATACATTGGTATCTTGCGATCAGACCAAAAGAAAAAAGGGGGTAAGGGTCAAAGGGACCTGTGTTTTCATGGCTTCTCCATGGTGGGTCCCTAGTGGACAACTTGGGTCCCATTCTGAACTGAGAACGATTCAAGGTGTTGGACTGCATTGCCATCAGGACTCAGAGACCCAAAGACCAGGTCTGACTTCACTGGGCTTCTTGAGAATTGTCTCTGCCTCTTCACATAGGTACGTGCTAAGGAGCTAGTGCACATCCCTCAGTCATAGTCTATCTCAGCTGACTATTTCTATTTTTTTTTTCTGAAAGGAATTCTTGTTTTACTACAAGAGTCACCACATCTCCTGACCTACCAAAAGAGGATCAATAATAATAATAAAAACCGCTCTCCCATTTAACTTGGCTTTTAGGGAATGATTCAAAACAAAGACGTCCTGAGGAGTTCGTATAGCAAGAAACACTAGCCCACCGAGCAGAGACAGGCGGGTCTCGACACAGGAGCGCATCTGACCTCAGGAACATGCATAGCACTGGGAAGGGGACCTACCTCCTCCTTTGTCTTTTTGGAAAGAACCCGCAGCCAATCTCCGATCATACTGAGGACAGCCGCAAAGTAGGCCAGGCCAACAAGGATCCAAAACCACACTAAGGGCTTATACCACTCCCGGTAATTGATGCCAGTGTTTCCCCCTGCAAACAACCAAACGTTACTTTAGCCACGATCTAGCAGATGGTTTTTGTAGCACAAACAGATTCCAGTCCACATAGTGGGGCTGCGGTCCCATCAGCATCCAACACTCGTAGCATCCAACAGTTTCCCCTGCCGTGTGCATGAGAACAACAGAATGGGGGGCAGGGCTGTGATAGGTGCCTTGTTTAAAGGAGCCGAGCTGTGGCTTGGTTACCTTTGATTCTCAACCACTACCTTTTATGCTCGTTACAACCATGATGAGTGGAGAACTTGACTCACTTATTCTCAACCTGAGCATTGACAAAGCTTGGAGTTGAAGGAGCCAGGCTGTCATTTCCCCACTCTTCCTGTTATCATTGCTGTGTGCTGTCCGGTCAATTCCCACTTAGAGTGACCCACTGGGACAGTGTCCTTGTTCCCTGCGGTTTCCAAGACCCTTGCTGAAGCACAGTGCCACATCTTCTTCCCAAGGAAGTGCTGCAGGGTTCAAGCCAAGTGTAGAAGAGCAAGGATGTTACTTTGAGGACTAAGGTGAGCCTGACCCAAGCCATGGTATTACTTTCAATCATTCCATACGCTTGTGAAAGTTGGGCATTGGATAAGGAAGACTGATGAAGAACCGATGCATTTGAACCATGGTGCTGGAGAAGAATACTTACTGAACGTACCATGGACTGCCAAAAGGATAACTAAATCTCTCCTGGAGAACGGGGAGACTCAGTGGTGTAGTGGTTACACATTAGGCTGCGACCCACATGGTCAGCAGTTTGAAACCACCAGCAGCTCCTCAGGAGAAAGACTGGGCTTTCTAAACCTCCCTAAACAGTTACAGTTGAAGTCTTAACGTCAATGATAAACAGTTAAGTCTCATAAACCCACGGGGAGTGGCTACGAGTCGGCATTGACTCCATGGCTGTTTTGGGATGTGCAGGAACTACAGCCAGAACTTGACTTAGAGGCAAGGATGGTATGAGAGGCACATTATGAAGAGGCACTGGTCCCCAGAAAAGGACCTCACCCTTGGGAGAGTAGGGGGACAGTGAATAAGAGAAAGACCCTCAATAAGAGGGATTGCCACAGCGGCTGCAACCATGGGCCAAACCACACAGAGCACAGGGCCGGGTAGTCTTTCAATTTTTTATACATACGGTTGCTATGAGTCAGAACCTACTGGAGGCACCTAGCAACAAGACCCATCATTTAATAGGTGAGCACTTAACTACTGCCCCACCTGGGCTCCTTGTTTCCCCCTGAACGTCTCTAAGTTTATTTTAATAGAAAATCAAATCGCCTTAAATGATCCCAAGTGGTTTGCAGTTCTGGAAGCATTGCCTTCTTAGCACACGTGCACTTATCAAGAGATGAATGGAGGTGTGGAAGTAAAATTAGACATAATGGCATGAATGAGACTTTGATCCAAGAAGCAGTGACTTAATGCTGAGGGATGGTGTTTACATGCTGCTACCACGAAGGATCAATTAGGCCGATTAATTAGAATTACCATAAGCTAGAGCTGAAAGGGACCGTAGAGTCCAGCTAGCTCAATCCCTTTCTCTTATAAATCAGAATCCCAGCGAAAATCCATCAAACCAAATTGGCCAGCAGCTCGAATGAATTGACCGGCTGTTCCATTAACGGTAGCAGTCACTTATTCCAAATAATTAGTCTACTTATTCCAACCTTCCTATAGGGACTTGCCTGAGGTAGTCACGCAAAATTGGCTCTGATGCCCAGCCCACTCTGAGAAGAAGGGAGGGAGGGAGGGTCCCCGGTGTGAGCATTGTGAGAAGGACGTTGCTACCCGATGAAGCAGGCAGGTGATCACTTCCAAGGTGACTGGCCATTGTGGTATTTCACAAAGAACAATTATTAGGCTATCCTGCTGGGTCATGGACATCAACCACATCTAGAACTGAATGCAAATTGAGCTCTTTAATAATACCTCCCCAAGGCAGCTGGGCAGGAACTGTGGCCCGTGGCTCTTCCGACTGTATCTGAACCACTTTGCCACTCAGCCCACAAAGTCTGAACAGCTGCTGCCATTTCTTCACATCAAAACAACAGGTTGTCAAGATTCTCGTATTGGGCTTAGGTGGTCTTTGCTTTTTGCTAGAATTCTCCTCCACAACTTACTTAGGCTATATCAGGCTGGAGTCTCTGCACCACGCAGCACATCTTTCTGCGTCAGGCCAGGACATAGGGTGGGTTTCTCTGGGGGCACACAGCACTGCAAATCTCCAGCCTGTCCTGGAGGAACTTTCCTGGCTAGCAGCTAAGGTCTCCGCTGCTAACCCCAACATTGGAGGTTCAAACCCGCCCCCCACCCTGTTGCTCTCTGGGAAAAAGATATGCCAGTCTGCTTGCATGAATGACAGCCTTGGAAACCCCATGGGTCAGTTCTACCCTGTCCTATAGGGCCTTCACTTGTGAAATTTGACTTAATGGCAACTGGCTTGATTGTTTTTAATCGCCCAATGAAGACTGGCGCTAGAGGGCGCTGGCGAATAGCAGTAGGCATCCTCTTGTGAGTGAGTCCTAGTCTCCGCTGGTGGGCAGGGATTCTGAGTCACCTGGGCTCCCGGGCTGGGTTGAGAAATGCTGCACGGTTGTTTTTAAAAAAAATACAAACTCACTACCAACCAGTCAGTGCTAACTCACAGCAACCCGCTGAGTTTCTGAGACTCTGTGGGAGTAGAAAGCCCAGTCTTTTTCCTGGGGAGCTGCGGGTGCTTTCAAACTACTGACTCTGCAGCTATAAGCCCAACTCAACCACTGTCCCACCAAAGGCTCCTTGCAAGCTCCTGACCTTAGGCTGTCCTAACTGAGCCAGCCACAGACTAAACCGGCACTGGCTCCTCCTGCGGTGGTCCAAGTTCCCCAAAGCACAGCCGCAACTAGCTCTTGTTAATGGACCAGGGCCTTCCAAAGGTTCGTGGGAAAAAACGGAACTGAAAGATGACCGGGTTTTTCTAGGGGGAAAAAATTTAATGTTTCCCAGAATCCTACTTTTTTATTAAATGGAAACATAGAAACCTTTATTAACCAAAAAATATCCAAGTGTGAAGCTCTTGTTTTGTTTTGGTTTTTAAAGTTGTGGTTTAATGCATATAGCATTCCAAATTTCCATGAACTTTTTGAAGCCCTCTCATAGGTTCTAAACGATCGGCCAGCCTGCCCTCTCGCTCTCGGAGTATTCCCCAAAGGGAATGGCAAAACAGCTGGTCTTCTAGGGCGCATGCTGTTCAGCTCGGCCAGCCTCAGCTCCAAAAACAGGCACGGAAAAGGACCTCCCCTAATTGCTGTCAGACTGTGGATTGTGAAAGGTGCTGATCTGGGGAAACCGCAGGACAAAGGGCTCCGTAATCAGCAGATAAAAGGTTAAAACTGTGGTGTCTGGTGGCTGCGTCCTGCTAGGCAAGTAGAAGTAAAATGCCAATATCGTCTACATGCTCCCCCTGTGGGGCCCCATGGTGACAAATGAATCATAAATTAGAATCATTAGAAAACCATTTTAAAAATAATCTCGCACACACACACAGGGCTCTGGCCTTTGTGCCCCAGAAGCCCCAGATGGGCAGTTCACGTCAGGTCTCTGGGGTCCTGATGCTGAGGGCTGAAGGCAGCCCAGACATGGCTGCTCTGGTTGTTAGGTGTCACTCGTATCGGCCTTAAGTACAACAGGAGGAAACACTGCCTGGCCCGGCACCTGCCTCACACTGGTTCCGGTCTGAACACAGGGGTGCAGCCTCTATGTCCATCCCTCCTCCTGATGCTCTTCTTCTTTTCCCTGACCCTCTACCACGTATAAGGGCCTTCTCCGGGGACTGATCCCTCCTACTAGCATGTCCCAAATAAGAAGAGATGAAGTCTTACCATCTCATTTCTACAAAGTGTTCTGGCTGTACAAATCTGTCTTGGAAGAACAGGCAGTGGGGCGGGGAACAGACGTGACCCAGTGCAATTCATACTTTGGAGAGTCCTTAAAGATGTTTGTGGAAAAGGTTCTTAAGTCCAGGCACTCTTATGTGTATTTGAACTCATGAAGTTCCCCATAGACCAGCGATAGATAGTGCTAGGAATTAACATGGGCATGCCTTGTCAGTGCTGCTGTGTGATTCGCTCTAGATCTTGGGGCCCCAGAATGAGCACGAGGCTCAGAAGCTAGTTGCTGCATACAGGGCTGAGCACTGTCCATCAGAGAAGACTGGTGGGGTTAGGCTCCAGTCTTTTCATAAACCCTTATTCATCACTGTGACTTTTTAATTAATCAAAAGAAGGGGGGTCCCTACTATTTCCACAAAGTGGATTTCATTTTTCATTGCTCAGTTGAGCCAAACCACCCAGATGTTATGCCCATTAACATAGCAGCACCTCCACGCCCACTGACGAGACTTGAACATCCTGGCTTTCATTTCTGCTCCCCAGATCCCACCCGTCTTCCTACACTCCATGGAGCTGAGGCCTGGCTGGGACCCCACACCACGGGAGGAGCAGTTCGTCTCTGAGCTCCGACTTTAAAGGCCCAGGATGCTGCTTCGCCAGAAACTGAGCCGAACAGACACAGACTGCAACCCAAACATCTCAAAACTCGGATTGTGTCTTTCGTTTGGAGTGTTCGCTTCTTAGAGTAGAAAGCACTTTGCTGCCTGACCACCTGGAACGATCCCACTGGGAGAACAGAAGGGTAGTCCTTCTATCCCTGCCTTCTCCCCACCCTCTGGGTAAGTAGTACGCATACAAAGTGAAACCACATTTCGTTTTCCAACACCTGCTGGCAAGTGACATGCAGATTCTCTTTTCACTCGCTGACACATCACTCGCGGACATCCCGTTTTACAAAGAAGGCTGTTATTGCTTCCAGAGCCATTCGTGCAGAATCCATTAGGACAGGATCTTTCCTCAGCACCTGGAAAGTCACATTCATTCTGAGTCTCGGGTCTGGGGATGCCCAGGTCCACCGTTGTGGGGACAAAATCTCTCCTCTCAGCTTCAGGAAGCTTCGCCTGCGGGCCAAGTTATGCTAATCTCGCAAGGAGCCTTACCACCGTTCAGAATTCCAACATTCAGTGAACTGTTTCATCTCACTTATGCATAATGCATATGAGAGAAGGGCAATTGGCATCCTGGGGAGGAAGGCGCTTTACGTTCCTTTCACACCCAACACCGCACGTAGGTCTTAAAGGAGCCTGTGCACACAGGGACACCTGAATCATTTACACTGCCTTCCCCTACAACGGGGTCTCGTAGCGACTTTGAAAAGCACAGTTAGCAGATTCTTTTCTCTTCCGGGGCCCTGGTGACCAAGATTCCCCCAGTGCTCACCTGCCACGAAGTCGCCAAAGCCCACTGTGGTCAGAGTGACCACCACAAAGTAAATGGACTCCAGGGCTGTCCACCCCTCGATGTACTTGAAAATGACAGCAGGGATGGTCACGAACACAATGCAGCCAGCCAAGATGAACAGGATGGTGGAGATGACCCGAATCTTGGTCTGACTCACTTGCTTCTTCTAGGAAGAACAAAGAGAGACTGATCAGCTCCATCACCCTGGATACAGAAGAGAGAAGCATTCACACATGCACCATGTCAGTGGCTTCGAATCATGTCAGTAGGTCGTAGGCTGCTGTCTGAGAATCCAGAGCAAGCCATGGATCCTTTCTGAGAAAAAAAGACATAAAGACCCTTCTAGTTGGTTCCCAGGCTTGACAAAGCCGTCTGTGGACGGCAGGTCAAGAAGCCCAGATTAGCTCATGTCCCTCGAATGTCCCTCCCTGGAGGTCGTCTGCAGCCCCAATACAGATTCTAGCTCCCTCCGTGGGACAAATGTCATTGCTTCCCAAGGTGGGCTTCCTGCCATTTTTCAGATGGCATTATTCACCCTCGGGTCGGGATGCGATCTGGAAAGCCAGTAGTTCGAAACCACCAGCTGCTCCTTGGTCTGCTCTCATAAACGGTCAGTCTCAGAAACCCACAGGGGACAGCTCTCTTCTGTCCTGTCGGGTCTCCGTGCGTCAGAATCGACCGATGGCAGAGGGTCTTGAGTTTGAGACCTCTGAGCTCTTTCCCCAGTGACGAGGATAGCCTTGCATCGACTCTCCCTTCTGTCAGAAGAGCCCTGGTGGCGAAGCGGGTTATGCATTGCGCTGGTAAGCTCAAGCTCAGCACTTTGAAGACTCAGCTGGGAGGAAGATGAGGATTTCCGCTCCTGTAAAGATTTACAGCCTCCCAAACCCAAAATGGGTAGTTCTACTCCACCCCTACAGGGTCGCTGGGAGTCATAACTGCCCTGCCTCACAAAGCTATCATGGCTGTTAAGTGATGCACCCCTACACTCCATTCTCCAGATGCACAGGGTGGGGCTGCCAGGTAAATGTGGGACTGCTAACCCACCCCAAGGGGGCACTCAGTATATAGAGTAGGAACTGCAGGGGAGGGGTCATTTGGGCTGTTCCCTTCCTGTCCTCTCAAAAAACTATCTCGGGGGGGGGGGGGGAGCGGGGTTCATTGATATTGGTGAAGTTCATGTGAAAATTATTTCTTTTCCCAAAGCACCAGTACAAGCCATCAATGACCTGAGAACCATGGGGGTGGTTCATGTCATGAAGGCCCATGCCGATGGTGCATCTGAGCCCCTCTGAGTACCCAACGTCCAAAGCCCAATCGGAGATTCTCCCATAGACCATTAGGTTAGTCTAAATGCTGGCAGTGGGAACACCAACCCTCCCCGCCCCCCCAATGGATCCCTCTTCCTCCAAAGCACAACGAAATCAAAATAATGAAATGTTTGTGATGTTGACGTGTTCAGTCGTAAATGAGGATGTGAATGCGATCGCAGTCCAAATGAAGCTGACCTTGGCAAAGGAGGACCACACATCCACAGGAGGCTGGAAGAATTCCCGGCTGCAGAAGATGGGTGAAGGGGAAGAGGGCATAAAGCGGGGAGTGGGTTGGCTTGGTAGCAGAGAGGGGTGGGTTCTGAATGACCTGATCATCAAGATAAGCATGCCACCGCAGCTCATTGCCCAAGCTCGCTCGTGGGTTCTTGAGCTGCTTTCCCCAGACATCCAAGGATGATGTGTGAGGATTTTTTTTTAAGAATTTGAAAATCCATTGTCATGGATTGAGTTTAAACAACCTGAAAAAGATATATTGATAAAGGCTTGACCATTATACCTGTAAATGGGGAAACAGTGTTTTTTCATTGGCAATGCTGGAGTCCCCGGGCATTGCAAATAGTCAAGTGCTTGGCAACTACCTGAAAGACTGGGGGTTCAAATCTACCCAGAGAGGCCTCAGGTGACTCTTGGTGTTCATGTTCAAAGATGCAATAGTATGTTCCAGTGATCAGCTTGAGGAAGTGAGTTCCCATGTGCATCGTTCGTTTTCTTGTTCATTTGTTCTCCTAGACTGTTTGTTTAATGCTTCGTTTTAATGAAATGTTCCAAATGAAAACCCTCCGTCGGAGACTGCAAGCTAATGAATTTATTTTGGATCTCTTTTTCTGTTTAATTGAGTGAATCTTATGAAGAATTTCTATATACATATTAAGTAACTGGGTTAAGTAATGTTTGTTAAACATTGAGTAATGTTTGTCATATATTGAGTTGAACATAAGGCTGAATTTTGAGCTGACCTCACAGACCAGTGAATTTATGAGGTTTTCCTTCTTGTTTCGTGTCTGTCTTGCTTCTGTCTTGTCTGAAGAAGCTATGACTGACAGCTACTAGGTGTTTTGTTTTGTTTTGTTTTCATGAGGCAGTCATAGATTTTTTTTTCCCTCTTCCAGGAAAAAAAAAATGGTTCTTTGCCTGTCTTATGAATTGGACTTTTAATAGCTACATTGAGAAAACTTGATATAAATAAATTGGTCTATTCAAAAGCTACACTATAAAGGATGGATTGTTTCTTTAAACTGGTATGGCAAGGTCCTAAAAGGAGCAAATTATTCTAAATTGCTGCTCTAAAGTATCCTCTAAAGCATGCAAAGAACAGGGTTATAAAAATGGAATAATGTGTCTCTGGGTGGTAAATTAGGTTGTACATACTGTTCCTTCAAAGAACTTACTCTGATCAGTTTAATGATACTTAGATACATTAGTGTTAATAGTCTCTGGATTTAATGAAAATGAATTCATTCTGACAAAGGTTTTTATATTTATGTCAATCTTGAAAACAAAATCTTAAGAGTAAAACCTTTCTAAGTAATAAGCTAGATAGTATATAGAATTAGGCTATTTAGGGGGAGGGAGTAATTTTTGTAAATCCCAGAATGAGAAGAAAGAATGCTAAACAGCAAGAAAATAATTACAATTGGAAGGAAAACAATTTAGTTGATTCTTGTCTGTCAAATTATGTAGGTCAATTAGAAATATGTAAATAATTGTGACTGGCCGATTTGTTTTTAATAATGAGTTTCTGAGTTCTACACTACTTCAAAGAAAGCTTTGATAAAACAACCCTCCCAAATAGGTGACCACCTTTTAAAGACAGAATGGCCCACATAGTTACAGAGGCAGACAAGTGCCAAGTCAGGCTGTTAAGTAGGAGGCTTCTCTTGGCTCATGTAGCTGTTGAGACTGATGAACCCAAAATCAGTCAAATAATTATAATAACAGGCTTATGGCTACAGAGGGGGGGTAAGTCTAAGGTCAGCGTGTCAGACGGCAGCCAGTGACGATCAGCAGGCAATCTGGCAGGCCTGTAACTCAAGTCCAAAGAAATGGCATTCAATGAGTCAGATTCAGCAAAAGGTAAGTAAGCTTTCCCACAGCATCCACGTATATACTGGGAGAAGGCCACACCCCCAAGAAGACATCTTTTGTTTACACCAGAGCTGTCTTCTGAGTAAGAGTGGGGCAGCACACTCTAATCTTATAACTGATAGGCTGCTCCAAGCAGATCTATTACCAAAGTGATCGTGTTATATCACATCATGGCGAATTGCTAGGTCTTAACTGCCCAAGCACTCAGAAACCTGGTCCATGCAAGTTGACACAAAACCTAACACAGTAGCTAAAGAATGTCCTTGATAAGCGTTCTCCTCGTTTCCTGGTCCTTGCCATTTGACTAGCCCGAATGGGAAGGTTTTGATTGTGTGGCTCTCACTCTTGCTTGAGCTAGACCCAATCTCCATCAACGGACTTACCTCTTCCAGCTGATAGTGTCCTTTTAAGAGCATGCTCATCTAGATTTTTAATTCAACAAGAAAAACAAGGAAACTCCGGGTTTGGAAGGCAAAGAACAATAAAAGCCAATGTGGCATGTGTCAAAGTTCTGACTAAAAACAGAGTATTTAAAATTATTTCCCTTATAGACTCCAAGTAATGGGTAATGCAATGAGTAGGATAGAAAGGTAGCTCTCAAAAGCCAAATAGCTTTGGACATTCCCACTGCTGCTCAAAAGGCATCTGTGTCATGGTCAAGTCTGGCTGTTGGGTTGCTAACATTACTCATGATGCTTCCCATGTGCAATGCACAGAGTCAAATCTCCATAAGCCTGTTCCCTCTTTGATTAAAATTGTCAATAACTGGTTAAGTTCACGGTATAGATGATAGAGGAAAATCATGTACTTTGGTATGTTTCCATTCATATTTTTATCTAGCTTTATAATTATGAAACATTGTATTTAATCACCTATTACAAGCCTAGTCATCCCAGAGATAAATTGATGTTAATCATTCGTGCTTTATAGCAAATAAGGAAAAACGGGTCTCTCTGCTTTGATGTACAGGTGTCGGCTAATGTTCTTCATGTTGCGGTGGTTTGAGCGAATTTTTATAACCACTAGAGCAACTCATCTCGTTGAAGGTCTTCCTCACTTTCAATGGTCCTCGATTTGACCCAGCATGATGTCCTTCTCTAGGGACTGGTCCCTCCTGAGAACATGTCCAAAATGTGTGAGGCAAAATATTGCCCTCTTCACTTCCCAGGAGCGTCCCAGTGGTGCGTCTTCCAAGGAAGATTTGTTCAATCTTCGGGAAGTCCAGTGTATATTTGATATGGTTGGGTTTTTTTTGCCAGCACCACAATTCAAATGCTCCATTCTTCTTTGATATTCCTTACCTCATTATCCAGTTTCCACATGCAGATGAGGCAATTAAAATGACCACCTTTGGGTGTCAGTCACACTCTAGTCCTCAAAGTGACATCTTTGTTCTATGAAGGTAATTGCTTAAATTTGGATTAAACTTTCGATGAGTAAGCTACTCACTTGAAGCAAAGCAGCTCACGTGGAGAGGAAGTCTGATGGCAAGGTGAAGAAAATAAATGCAAGATCAAGTGGATTGGCAATAAGGTAAATGATGGTGGAGCCAACCACCAGAGGTAAAAATCCTGGCAGAAGAAAAATTCATGGCTGCAGGTGATCAGTGTCTGTTAATGGAGGCTTAATCGAAAGGAGGGAAACAAGGCCTTGGAAGCTTAAAACAAAGATGGAGGTCGTCATGCCCAATCCAGGAGAGCCGCCTTTGCTCCCTGGTTTCCGCAGGCAAAAGCTTACTATCATAAGC